AGCAGGGAGGAAGATCTCACGCACACGATCGTGATGCTCGAGTGCAGCAATAACGTTGTCCGCGTCCTGCCCTTGCCACGCATTCGGCCGATTATATCCAATCGTTAAAGGCAATAGTGGCCAGATATCCAGCATCGCTCTCACTGGCCTATTGTGTGTGCAGAGAAGTAGTAGATTGAGGCGGTGCGGTGAGGCAAACACGATGTTTCGCCACCTTTGGCACACGTGCACCAGCGTATGCCATTCATCGGCATTTCGAGGTCGAGGTAGAATGTAATTTCCATTCAAATGAAAATCGAATATCTCCAGGAGGGCATCATCAGTGAGCTTGTCGATTCCCGCCCGGTCTACAGCAGTCAGCAGCTATATTGTAGAGGTTTGCAAAAAGACATAAACCAACCTTGTGGCCCATAGAACTCTCCATGGAGATGTGTCGAACGCTCCCCCATCTGCAGGCCTTCGGAGGGATCATCAGTCGGGGCGGCATGGGGAAGTGCCCCTTGGGAGATGATATTGGTGGGGAATGTGACCGTGACTCGACTCTGGTCAGATGTTGGGATACGGCTATGTGAGAACTTGGTTATTTTTTTCAATTTAGCACAATCATCCTTCCCAGACGCACATGTGAACTGAGTTCATTGTGAGGATGCTCTGCTAGACGGACAGGCGATTGCTTTGACGCGCAGCGCGCGGATGTGAGGCTCGTGAGAGAATATGGTACATAAGCTACGTAATGGGACTGAGCCCAACGCGCCCAAGTGTTATTACAGCGATTACAGCGACACAGCGACAATCACCGCCATGACCAGACACACCACATTGACCACTCTCCCCATGAAGATAATCGACCAGACGCCGAACGAATATTATACCGTAACATTGGCGATCTCGCCGCGCCACGCGCCGTGCGGCGAAAGCACCTGCGACGAGGCAGCAACTCGTCAAGGTCCTCTCGGTCAACTTCACCGACAACAGGGTGCTCTCTGCGCTCGAGTTTCTCATGGCCAAGGTCCTGAGGCTGCTGTCGCGTCTGCGCACTCTCGATGTGGAGGTATCCGTTCACGAAAACCAACACCGCGCGCTCGCATGGATATTCCCCCGTGACGCCCTTCCGCCTGCGCTCATTTGCGACGTCCATCAGGTAAGTCTCGTTCCCTTCCCCTTTATTACTTTTCTCAAGAAAAGACTGTGGGGACGCTGATTGGACACCTTCCAGGCTCGACCCAGATTTGGCCGCCTTCCTCGAGTCCCAGCCGGAGATCCGCGACCTCTCCTTGCGCGGCATACCCGCATACACCTCGAATCCCTTCACGCTCCCACCATCCGCGCTTCCTCATCTCGAGAGCTTCCGCTCGATACATGTCGACCAGGACACCCTCGGCGAGGTACGTGCACCGTCCGCCCAAACCCGCCTACACCATTTGTTTGTCGGGCTGATAGGGTCACGCCAAGGTAATCGCGACGCGCCCCGTGCAGGGCATCTCCCTCTCCCTGTTCTCGGAGCACGGCTACCGCGCGCTGGAAGTCCTCGCGCGAACCTCGACGCACGTCCGGCGCCTCACGATCCTTATTGTCGATGCGTCGGCGCCGAGCCAGCTCTTCCCGCAGTTCGCCGCGCACCTCGAGGCGCTCCATGTCGTCGCCCTCGTGCAGAAGTATGATCTCGTGCGTACCCCTTCCCTTGTCTTCCCCCTCTTTTTTTTCTGCCTGCCCTAGGGAGTACGTGCGCGCGCGCTGGGTGTAGAGAGAGCAGGACATGTTTCTGTCCGCCCCGCTGGTTGAAGCGTTCGCTGGCCTGCGGATAACGAGGTGAAGGTCGCGGAACACTGGGCCCGTGCGTGTCCAACGCCGACGACTATCATCCTGCCCAAAAGGCCGCGTGTGGCTTGCAGGGCAGAACATGATGTCGGTCTACGAGAATCGTCTTGGGTTTCCGGCCCTTTCCTTTGTGATAACTTATTTACAGGTGCCCACGATTCTGACGAGTTGCAGCCGTATTTGTGCACCTCCCTCGCACGAGCAGGATCCAGGGAGATTGCACAGCCTAGCCGGGGACTCGCGTATCTATGACGGGGCCTCACGTAGCGGACCTAGTGAAGATGATCGCCCTGCGACGCAACATGACGTCCGCCTACCTCCCGGTGTCAAGGTCAAGGGCAAACAACGAACCTTAACACGCTCAGTCAGCCCTCCGGCCCAATCCGACATGTGGTGCGATTCGCCGGTAGCTCGCCATGAACCAATGGGCTCTCCAGAAATATTGACAGCTCCCACGGACTCGCCGCTTTCTGAGAACCCAGAGAGAAGTACCACTGCGATCAGCAGGCCTTTATGTTCGTTCCGAGGGAGCAGGCCCTCCTTACACCAAGGTCCTGAGAGTAATTCAGGTGGTTCTCTGTCCCATCACTCCCGCTCCCTGATGGGAACTCCCACGGCACCCACCACCAATGCGCCCCTCTTTCCATTAGGACCCTCTTTCCATTAGGATCCCCTCAATTCACTGAATGATGGCATTGTTGCGAATTCGAGTTCTAAGTCGGAGACGCCTGAACCTTTTACGACTAATCTTAACCATGCTCGTACCAAGCCCGGTACAGGATCGTAGTCAACGCGACTGCATTATTGCCTATCTTCGAGCATCGTTGACGACCCGGAAGAACCGGTCATCCGTTCAGCCGGGACATACATCAGGCCTACTGGCGCGCCCGACGGACGAAGCGGTTGAGAAGCTTAACGTCCCGGAGGTTGACCTGTACCTTATCCCATGCCATTCAGGATATGAACTCGCAACAGTACGGGTATGGTAGCCGCCATTCGGATGCTGTCGAACGGCGTACAGCCTTAATACGGTAGCTTCTCGAGTCGTAATAATGAGGTGCGTGGGACAACCTGGCTTTGGTTTCAGACAGCTCATGAGACAAAAACTCCTCAAACTCGAAATGTCCAGCTCAAGGCAAGCTTGTCCTATGCTGTGCCAGGACCTGGATGGTGTAGCGAGAGCATGCTTAATCGAGGTGAGGTCCGCATGCGGGGATGTGAGCGTCTCTGATCGCCGAGAAGTCTTCCCAAAAGCCATCCGGGTTTGCCATCGCGAAGAATAGCCTTGTCAAGGCGGGTCGCACTGGCACGAGGTTATCAGACAGACCATAGAATGCTTCCCACTCCAGTGCTCTACGACGACGTGGCGGAATTCTCAATTGTCACTCGCCGAGTCGCCGTGATCTTGTTCCGAACACGACCGCCCATGCGATTTCTGCGCTCAACTTCTCCGGTGATGCGTTGATCAGCCCGATCAGCCCCGCATGGACGCCTCCGCGTGCCTTGTCGATGATGGTGAAGAGGATCCATGTCGGGTCGCGGCGCATGTACAACTCGACCGTCGTCAGGATCTCATCGATATTCGAGAGTTTGAACTGAATGGGAACCAACGGTGGAGTTCTGGATGGGCGGTGGTCTGCTCCGCAATCCGCATACTCTTTTGCATGGAGGGAAGGGATGAAAGGCGTCAGCTTGACCCGGTCAGACTCGAGTGTTGCCTCGTGAAGGGGCATAATCCAGTTGATGTCGTATGGATCTGGGCCATAATACCCAGGCAAGAGGGCGGGTTGGTCAGACGCCTTGTACGAATTCGTGTACGCCAAGGCTAGGATAGAGGGTAAGGACAAACCTGGTAATGTAATATATCTGCTCGTCGGTCCCTGCCGGCAACCGGGTCACCAAACAAATGGTTCTTTCAGAATCGTTCAGGAGAGCCAGCCCAGCAAGTTAGTAAATTCATTTGTTGTCAGTTGTGGAAATCTAGCCCATCAGTGACATTAATCGCCAGATAATCGGCGGTCCGGACCCCCTGTGTGGTCGGGGAACCAAGCGGGGAACTGAAGGACTAATATTGTGCTAGTTGCAACCAACTTCGACAACATTTATTATGGCACTTTTGGCCACTTTCCCACTTCCTCTCCCAGATGCTCCACCCTCCGGATACGGTTGGGAGCAAGGAGATATGTCGGTTGTGTCCGGAACTACTGCATTTGAGGAGGGGATAGATCAGCGTGATACGTTCCTTGGAGACGCCCGCTGCATCATCTGTGGACAAGGCGGTAGCCGAATCCTTCAGCGTTGTCACATTGTTAGGGTGTCAGAGCCAGAAATTGTGAGATAAAAATGCATTTAAATCTTCCTGAGACTGATGCAAAACACAGTGGAAAGGCCTCAAGGTCCGCCATTGGATTCCTTCGCAAGCCAAACAGCATCCTAAACACGAGCCGCACAATGGCCTGCTCATGTGTGCCCACCATCGTATCTGGTTTGATTCATATGACTTCTTCATATGTTTCTTCCCCGATGTGCGTTCATTTTGTGTATGCTCCCTATTGGGGTCTGGTGCTAAAAATGGGATAGACTCGCAAGTTCGTGTTTATTAACTACTCTGGCGACAGCAATCTCCAGGAGTTCCATGGCAAGGCACTCGCACTTGACATTCGAGATAAACATACGCCTTTCCCCTCCCTGCTCATCATCCATGAGATGCGTGTCCGTGGATTTCACCCCTTCCAACCCGTCACTCCAACTGTGCAAGACCCTGCCCCTTGGCAAGACCGCAAGACTGGATCCTGTCAGATGGAGTGATCGACAGTGCCTCAGGTTATTTCAAACGCGACAGCCCGCCAGATGATGGTAATGATAGTACCCCTGCACAACCACGGCTGCCTAGTGGGTTTATGACAATGAATGTGGGTGGGTCGTCCTCTGGTGGACGCGCACTAGAGCTGAACGAAAATGTCATTGCTGACATCCTTGCTGCTACATGTGCCATGCCAGCATGGAAGGCTTGCGAGATGGAGGGTACTGGCTGGACTGGCACAGCAGCAGAGAATATTGAGAAATATGTCTCCTCTATTGGCATACAAGATTCAACCTAAGTGGCTGCCATGTGAATGGAATATTTTTTTTTTTTTTTTTTTAAATCCAAATTTGATGTGAATGGAATATGCAGTGTTTATTGCCCAGACGGGGGTTGAACCCAGGGCTTCTGGATATACCAGGTACTCTACCTATTGAGCTACCTGACCATGACCCATGGGTTCATTTAGAATTGGGAATATATCTTCACAATTGTATTGCCTTATATGGTATTGGCATAACAGACAGATTGTCCCTCAATCAAGGGAAGTTTGACGCGACTCGCTCCGTCGTGAGAACGTTACATAAGTTACATATGACACCCCTACACAAGTGCTCGATTATTGGAGCGACAATCATCACGATGATCAGACGTACCACACTGACCACCCTCCCCATGGAGTTAATCGACCAGGTATTGTCCTTTCTTTCCTGGCCCAATCATCTCTATCCCCTGCTCTTCGTCGACAAATTCCTCAGCCCCATCGCCGAAAGAATATTATACCGCAACATTGGCGATCTCCCCGCGCCACGCGCCGTGCGGCTTCTGCTTTCGCTGGCGAAAGCACCTGCGGCGAGGCGCCAACTCGTCAAGGACCTTTCGCTTAACTTCACCGACAACAGGGTGCTCTTTGCGCTCGAGTTGCTCATGGCCAAGGTCCTGAGGCTGCTGTCGCGTCTGTGCACTCTCAATGTGGAGGTGTCCGTTCACGAAAACCGACACCGCGCGCTCGCTTGGATATTCCCGCGTGACGCCCCCTTCCGCCTGCGCTCATTTGCGACGTCCATCAGGTAAGTCTCGTGCATTTCCCCTTTATTCCTTTTCTAAAAAAAGTCTGTGGGGGGACGCTAATTGGCACCTTCCAGGCTCGACCCAGATTTGGCCGCCTTCCTTGAGTCCCAGCCGGAGATCCGCGACCTCTCCTTGCGCGGCATACCCGCATACACCTCGAATCCCTTCACTCTCCCACCATCCGCGCTCCCCCACCTCGAGAGCTTCCGCTCGATACATGTCGATCCGGACACCCTCGGCGAGGTACGTGCCCCACCCACCTGAGCCCGCCCCCGCCATTTGTTTGTCGGGCTGATAGGGTTCACCCCAAGGTAATCGCCACGCGTCCCGTGCAGGGCATCTCCCTCTCGCTGTTCTCGGAGCACGGCTACCGCGCGCTCGAAGTCCTCGCGCGAACCTCGACGCCCGTCCGGCGCCTGACAATCCTTATCGTCGACGCGTCGGCACCGAGCGAGCTCTTCCCGCAACTCGCCGCGCGCCTGCCGCATCTCGAGGCGCTCCACGTCGTCGCCCTCGTACAGAAGTATGATCTCGTGCGTACCCCTCCCCTTGTCTTCCTCCCATTTTTTCCGCCTGCCCTGGCCCTGTGCATGCGTGTATGCTGAGTGTAGAGAGCGCAGGATACGTTGCTCGCGTCGGCCCCGCTGCTTGAAGCGTTCGCCGGCCTCCGGTATCTCACGTTCATGGCCAGCGGCGCGTCGCGCTATGAGCTTAACGACGAGGCGAAGGTCGCGGAACACTGGGCCCGTGCGTGTCCAACGCTGACGACTATCATCCTGCCAAAAGGTCGCGTGTGGTTTGCAGGCAGTGCGGGCAGGTGGGAACATTCATGATTTTGGTCCACGAGAATCGTCTTGGGTTTCCACCGCTTTCATTTTGATAACTTATTGACGAGTTGCAACCGTATCTGTGCATTTATTTATGCACACTTTGTCCATCGGTAGATAGTCTTTCGTTGTGGACAGTACCATATCCTCTTTGCTATTGATCACCCACCTCTGTCATATTCCTTGTTGCTACACTACTAATTCTGGAAAATTGAAGTGAATAATCGATCTCACCGGACTGGTATCTTCATCTTGTCTGTGAACAAAATAAACCTAAACCATAACAGGATGAAATTCGAGGTTTTCTCGTTCTGCGCTGCATGCCAGCCCTCGAGGCATCTGTATCACCAACTACGCTTTCTATAATTTTAGGAATCGTTGAGGGGTAGTGTCGCGTCACTGATCAGAACTATCGACCCTCGATTCAGAATGTCTAGCCGAAGCTGGAACTTCACCTGCTTCCCTACTTTGCCAGACACGTGAGAGGGATGGTCTGTCCTCTGGAAGCCAAGTTGAATATGGCGGCAGCGCCGGCTAAGGTTATTGGAGACAATCGAAAGAAGCGTGATCATCTGGCTCGGATGAACAATGAGCATACGGGGCGATATTTAGAAGTTCCCTCAGATAGAAACCAAAGATCACATCGCTTCTCGGTTGTGGCTTGCTCTAACGAGATGCAGATTGGAGAAAATCACCCGTGAGTTGCCTCTCGAAGTCAGACCTATCTCTCCCTGGACCCAGGCAGGCACCTGTGCACCAGAAACTGTGCCATGGAGGAATCCTTGGCCAAGCGCATCGTCCTACGCGCCACAATGTTGACGACTCTGGAGGTGCGAAGGCCTGGCTGGAACCGAAGGGGAATGATGCCTTCGAAGCCTCTCTGATGGAGCCTGTCAGGACACAATAGCAGTCTACGGCTAGAAGATTAGCCAGTTCCAAAATGTGCCATTAATTGGGCGAGGCGATATACAAGCGCCCCCCAGTATAGCGCAAACAAAGCGTAAGAGAGAGGTCGCCTACAGGTACAAGCTGTCTATGGGTACATTGGCTGTTACGCGCCCTGCAGCAAAGATGTCAGAGGTCATGATGTTGATTGTCCACATTACTCGCCTGCAACTGGAGGGAATTTCCCGAAGTGAGAGATGCTTGGCTAGAAGGTAGCCAAAATTGGGATACATTCATAGAATCGTCGACAACTTCAGAAGGCGGGGGTCATCGGTCAGAGAGCGATCTAATCGCTAGAAAAGAAAGAGATTGCAAAGTTACCTGAACTTTGCGCAGTCGTCCATTCAACTTCCGGCGAAAGTCTGTGTCCTTTTCGTGAGCCTGGGCTAGGAGGTAGCATAACCATGCACGCACCGCTTGAGAAGTGCCTCCCCGCGGCGCTCGAGTTCTAGCTGTCGAGTACGCAAGCTTTCGTTCGTTGCGACGTCGTGGAAACCAGCGATGCGGAGGCGATACGCTTCCGTGCGGAACAGTTGCATGTCCCGACGAAGCGACTGCAACTCGACCCATATATCCTGCCTTTCCTTCTTAGAGATCTTTTCATCTGCGGACGTAGACATCAAGCTTGATAGTTAAAGAGGAGGGGAGTTTCTAGATGCCATCCATGATCGTGACAGTGAGTTGTGACCATTACGATCACGTGCCATGTGACGATGGACACGCCGCACATGACCGGCTTACGCGCCTGTATGTGATCACCGTCCTTCACAGCCAACACAGCCTACTCTCTGTGCACCCACCACATTGGGCCTCGCGCACAACTCTGAGGCAGCCGCGACGCCAGCTATAAATGATCAGTGTCCCGCTATTACGCTGAAAGCGCGTCATGTCACACAGTGCCACTGAGAAAACAGCGTCAAGTAGAGCTGCTGCCATTCGGCCCATTGATTCCCAGTCCGTCCACCGCATTACCTCTGGTCAAGTCGTTATAGACCTACAGACTGCCGCAAAGGAGCTTGTAGAAAACTCTCTCGACGCGGGTGCGACCAATATCGGTTTGTACCTTTTGTCCTTGTGCCTTCCCCCTCGGGTCCTCCCTCGAGCATTCACTGAAACGCGGGCTGCTCCAGAGGTCCGCTTTAAGGACTACGGTTTGAAATCCATCGAAGTCATTGACAATGGAAGCGGTATTGCACCAGAAGATTACGAGACAATCGGTGTGTTCCCATCACTTGCGCCACTCCCATGCGCATCCTGATCATATTCGGCCAGCCTTGAAGCATCACACATCAAAACTCGCTTCCTTTTCCGACCTGACCTCCGTCCTGACATTTGGCTTCCGCGGGGAGGCCCTTTCCTCTCTATGCGCTCTCTCCGAGAGCGTCAGTGTCACCACCGCGACTGCGACGCAGGCACCCATGGGCACCGTCCTTCTCTTCGACGGCAGCGGCCGCCTTGCCAGTTCCAGTGGGAAGGTTGCTCGGCAGGTGGGCGTCTTTCTAAAAAGAAGCGGTTCCTTCTTTTCACATGCTCAGGCTGATCGTGGCGTAGCGTGGCACCACAGTCACTGTCGCCGGCTTGTTCGCTCCCCTCCCCGTCCGGCGGAAGGAGCTCGAGCGCCATGCAAAGCGGGAGTTTACCAAAGCGTTGAATCTTCTCACAGCGTACGCGCTCGTTCCGTGTACTCGGGAGAACAATGGCGTCGTCCTGACGGTCTCGAACACTCCTGATGGAGGGTACGTATCACACGTGTCCCTCGGGGCTCACATGGCTGCCATGGAAGCTAATGGGGCAGCTAGAAAGAAGACGATACAGCTCCGTACTGATGGCACTCCCTCGGTCCGTGCTTCTATCGGAGCGCTCTGGGGTCCAAAACAACTCGACAATCTCGTCGACCTCGATCTGTCCTTCGATGTGATCCCGGAGAAAACAGTTTTGCGTCGCCAAGAATGTGAAGTCGGAAACCAGTACGTCCTTCGTAGCATGCCCCCTCTCCCCTTCCTCACCTTTTTTTAATGTGGGTTTGTCCTACTGGTCAGTCAGATACGTGTGAAAGGCCTCATCTCCAAATTTACCCCTGGCGCGGGCCGCGCAGGGACCGACCGCCAATTTGTTTTCATCAACGGGCGGCCATGTGCCCCGGTGAAGGTGCAAAAGGCTATCAATGAAGTTTATCGAACATTTAACGCCAACCAATCTCCTTTTGTTATTGCGGACTTCCTTTTACCGACTGGTGTGTACATTTGGTCACTGGCTCATAAACATCGTGATGGGACTAACCTTGTGCAGATTCGTGCGACATCAACGTGAGCCCTGACAAGCGAACCATTCTCCTGCACAGCGAAAACAACCTCATTGAGGCTCTCAAGGTGCGTTCCTGGAACATTCATTAGGCGACTCACGGATCGCACTAAGATCTGTAGGCGTCCCTGACAGAAACGTTCGATTCGGCTCGGTCGAACTTTGTCCTTAATCCAACGCAAGTCGCGCTGGCACCAAAAGAGATGGAAAACCCCCCGACCGGAGGGGGTGGGACAGTGAGCAACACAAAGCCGCCCCTATTTATTCCCGAGGACGGGGAGCAAGATGGTGATGAGAATGCTGC